AGGTAGCTAAGGGTGCCCGTGAACTCAAAATTCTCCTGCCATAGACTCCTGATTGCTGGGATTACAGGACTTAGTCACCACACCTGGCCTCCTATCTGCTTTCACCACCAAGCAATAACTCTAAAACACCCCAAACCCAAAATAGTTCCCAGTCAACAGAGTACAACGGGGAAGACAGGGAAGATATCTCATCTCAACTCTCACCTTTGAGATTAAACAGCCTGGAAAAAGGTGGGTGAACTCTAGCCAAAAGTAAATGAAACATTTTAAGGAAGGTCTGACAAAAACCCATTAAGAATGACATATGAATTCAAATCCAGAAAAAAGTGCTACTGTGGGAAAATAAAGTCTGAACTAATGTTCTGAAAATGCCTACTAGAAAAGGGTCGGAAATGACCCTTCAGGAACAGGGGCTTTGGCTGCTGAGCCAGGTGGCTCAAACGCACCCTGCAAGCAGCCTGTCTTGCAAATGGCAACTGTCTGGCTCAATCTGCAGTGCGAGTCTTCTGCTCCATCACAGAGTACTTTCCAGTGTGTTATAGTTGTCCTTAAAGCTCTTTAATTCCAGGAAGTGCTTGGCACGCTTGCTCTTCTGACTGGAGGGTAGATATGTTACTTGGATGGTTGTAGGGGAGACTTCAGGAGACTGAGTTAGGTCTTTGGCTGCTGACTGATGCTGTCGCTGAGAGCTCCCAATTCGTGCTTTGACCCTAAAGAATACAGACGACGGTTATGGATAGAATACTAGATTAGAATTCAAGGCTTATCCTACTCCATAAATGTTGCCACAAATAGTCCTGTTTGATCTTATGGTTTAAAGTCCCATCCAACAGCACAGAAATAGCAGGGAAACTAATTTCCCACTGAGTTCTTGTCTCTGGAACAAGCTTTCTTTCATTACACTATGGTTAAAGAAAACTTTTAACTCTACCAATTCACCTAATATGTGTAAGTAGCTAACAACCCTCAGTCCAAAGAGTCCCTTAAAAACTAAATAACAAAAAATTAGCATTAGGACATGACACTTGGTGATTTACTGGTATGTAATTTACCAGCATTCCCAGTATGCCTATACTGTGGCATCACCTGGTTTTGCAGGAAAGGAGACCAACAAGTCACACAGGAAGTGATAGACTGGGGACTCAAACCTAACTATGTCGGATTTGAAAGCCTATACTCTAAATCAAAAACAAAACCAAACAAAAAAACCTTAAAATCAAAGCCTATACTGTTCCACTATACCTGCTGAACATTCCCCACTGAAACTAAAGAAAGAGTTGGGCATGGTAGTACACGCCTATAATCCCAGCACTTGGGAGGCTGAGGCATGAGAATGTCTGCAAATTTGAGGCCAGCTGGGTTACACGCTGAGTTAAAGGGTAGCCTAAACTGCAGAGCAAGATCCTGCCTCAGTTGAAAAAAAACAATTAAAAAATGGTACTGGAAGTTGAATTGAGGGTTTTATACATGCTATGCAAGTCCTCTACCACTGAGCTACATCACCAGCCCTTTTCATTTTTATTTATAGAGTCTCACTAAGTTGCCCAGGTTTGTTGCAAACTTGCAATACCCTTGGCCTCAACCTGCTGAGTGGCTGCAATTACAGGAGCTACGCCATTACACCCAGAGAAAGATATGTATTTATTTATTTATTTATTTAGGTTTTCTGAGACAGGTGCTTGCTATGTAGTCCAGGCTGGCCTTGAATTCACTGTGTAGCCCAGGCTGGCCTCAAACTTGTAATCCTTCTGGTTCAGTCTTCTGAGTGGTGGGATTACAGGTGTCCCATGCCCTGACCCACAGAAAGTTATTAAAAAAAAAAAAAAAAAAAAGTGTGATAAAATTCACATGATATACTATTTATCATCTTAGCCATTTAAAAATGTGTACATCAGAGCTGGGTGTGGTGGCACACCCCTGTACTCCCAGCGCTTGGAGGCTGAGGCAGGAGGACTATCATGAGTTGAACACCAGCCTGGGCTACACAGTGAGTTCAAGGCCAGCTTGCATTACAGAAGACCCTGTCACCAAAAAAAAAAAAAGTACACAGCAGCAGTGTTAAGTACAGTCACTCTGTTGTGCAATCAACCTCTAGAATGTTGGGGTTGCTGGCATGGGCCACCACACTTGGCTTCCTTAGGACCGTTTGTCTTTGCTAGTTCATTTGCAGTGACAAAGAGAAGACAGGAAAGACATACCCCTTGTCACCTGTGACACAGCCTTAATGAACATAGTAGAAATTCTGTTTTGAGACAGGGTTTCACCATGCAACTCAGGCTCAAACCTGTGATCTTCCTGCCTCAGCCTCCGAGGGTTCTAGGATCACAGGTGTGTGCCACCACACCTGGCACATGTGGTAATGTGGGCCAGACACAGTGCAATAGCCTAGAAACTGGTAGCTCTTATGACATTCCGGATTTTGTTTACACTGCTTTAGGAAGGTCATTACATTGTGGGTCCGTGCAGTACTTCTAAATCTTCTAACTAGCCCCTCTAACATGTTCCTCTTCAAACTTACACAGTGGCCAGCTCACTCAGGGCCTCCTGGTAGCGTAGGTACTCACTCTGGCCAAAGACCTTAAGCAAGAGAAAGGAAGAGTGAGAATCACAGTCTGACACATCCCTTTAGATCCTGAAGGAAAAACTGGCCATCCAGCTTACCCCTGTCCCATAGCGGGCTGTCTCATAGCCATCCAGCAGGGTATCAATGAGAGCCTTGCGAACACCCTTGAAAGGAGTACTAGTGTTTCGCAGATCTAGCAAGTAGGAGCGGAAATTCTTGCCCATTAAGGAACGAGGATGTCGGCCTTCAGCATGAAATGGGATCTCTAAGGAGATAACAACACAATGACACCCATTTTCCCAATTTTTAGTCTTTCTAGGTGATTTCCCAAGTTAGACATAGGTCTAATGAAACCAGGGGAGATAAATTCTTATAAAATTAAGAGCAGAGGTATACAGTTATGCCTGAGTGGTCACACAAATGTAAGTTATGCCAGTGGCACAAGATACCATTAGCATCCTTCTTACTAGCCTTCTTACCCATCCCAACTTTAAGATAGAAATTATGTTTTGGTAGAGACAAAGCATACTTGACAAGTGGTCACAAAATGGGAAAAACAAAGAACTATCTGTTTCGAGTTTAATGAAAAAGCAAAAGTCACAGCCTTTTGTGCAAAGAAACTAAATTACTGTCTTCTAATTCATGAAACTAAAGGTCTCAAGAGAAGAGCCTTAAAAATCAGAAACAAGGCTGGGGATATAGCTCAGTGACACAGCAAGTACAAGGTCCTGACAAGCCTGGCAAGCATAAGGTCCTGAGTTCAATTGAGTTCAATTCCTAAAAAAAAAAAAAAAAAAAAAAAAAAAATCAGAAACAAAACCCCCCAGATTCTTTGGAAAAGAAGTAATCTGCCTCCATCATCCCCTTAGGCAAAGAGTAACCTACCACTCTCAAAATTCCAGGAAATTCCAGCTCCCCAGGGATGCAGAATACCCTAATGTACTAAGGTGGGGGGTCATTACTTTTCTGAAGGCAATTTAGGATCCCTGGATGGACCCTAACAGCTGGTCCTTACCAGAGGCACGGATGGCATCCAGAGCTTTCATCCTGTACAGATAGTTGTAGCAACCTGTTGAGAAAAAGACTAGTCTCAGATATAACCTTCCAAAGATCCCCAGGCTCCTCCCTAATATGCTGCCTCCTTGCATCTAGCACATATACAAAAACTAAGGAGTAACTGACGTCTGTCAACAGCTACTAGCAGTTCTGAAAGTGAAGGAATTTTGAATTTATGGCACTCCTCACAGAAGCCCCCTCCAAGAGCTTGCCACATACTTTGATTTCCCTGGGTTTCCAGCTGTAGCAGTCTTGCATCATCATCTGCAAGGAGCTGAGGTTCATACTTGATATCCTGAACCCTGGACAGTCGAATATCAATTTCCTCTTTCAAGTCCTGTGCATGTAGGGAAAAGAATACACCATCATTTACCTTATGTGCTGCAACCTATCAATCTGGAATTAGGGCAGAGCATGTGAACAACTGAGACAAAACTGAGAAAGTCCTTATGTAGCCAATGAGTTACTTAGCAAAATGCAAGAGTTTAGTAAGTATAGGTTTGGATGGGGGGCAGGTTGTTGGATTCTTAATAACCCCTCCAAGGTATATAGCTGTGTTAGATCTTTTTTTGTGGTGGTCCTGAGGATTGAACCCAAGGCCTTCAATGCTGAGCTACATCTCCAGTCCTCTGTTTTTTTGAGACAAGAGTCTCACTACCACCTAGCCTAGGCTCAAATTTATGATCATTCTGCCCAGCTTCCCAGAGGGCTGGATTTATGGTTGTGTGACACCATGCCTGGTTGTCTGTCAATCAGTCCTTCTTTCACCCCAAAATATCCCTACACTCTTATCCAGTCAGCCTTTCTCCTTTGAACCCCAGGTAAGATTTAGTTTCATGTCAGTATTATATAGTATATATACTATTGTGAATGACCTTCTAGATTTTTTCACTTGGCATATTTTTGAGATTCATATTCATTTGCAAAGTTTTCATCCAAAATATTTTGGAGACTCTCATTTCTGTTCATGAATTTATCTTATTTGCACTTTTATTATACTCCAGAATATATTACTCTATTTCCATTTTAAAGTGGATTTTTGGATTACCAGTTTAAAAAAAAATTGTGATCAATGCTCCAGTATTTTTATACGTGTGCTGCATTATACATAGGCAAAAACTAATTTCATTCTTTTTTGTGGTACTGGGGATTGAATGTACCAGGGTCTTATAAATGGTGGCACACACCTGCAATCCCAGCACCCGGGAGGCTGAGACAGGAGGATCACTGTGAGTTTAAGGCCAGCCTGACCTACAAAGTGAGTTTGAGGTCAGCATGAACTGCATAGAGAAACCTTGTCTTTAAAAAAAAAAGAACAAAAAAAACAACTATGCAAATGCTCTACCACAGAGTTACACCTCTAGCTCAAGTGCCTGCATTCTTTTTTCTTGAGAGAATCTCACTTCCTAGTACTCACTATAGTGGGCCTTGAATTCACTATATAGCCCAGGCTAGCCTCAAACTCAGGACAACCCTCCTGCTGAAATGTCCTAAGTGTTGGGATTACAGGCAAGCATCACTATGCATGGCATGCCTTTATTCCTGAAGCTTACAGTCTAGTGGAAGAGAGAAACATTTTAAACAGTCAATTAAACATAAAAAATTGTGGCAATGTTATGTGGAAAAATCAGAGTTCTATGAGAAAATAAACCTACTTTGAAATAGCATTCCTCTTCTGAGGAAGTACTATTTAAGCAAAGGTCTATAAAGAATGGATGAACGGGGCTGGGTATTTAGCTCAGCGGCACAGTGCCTGCCTGGCAAGCGCAAGGTCCTGAGTTAGATTCCCAGTAACGGGGGCGGGGAACCAAAAAAAAAAAAAAAAAAAAAGGGATGAGCTAGCCACATGAAGATCATACCAAGTCACAGTGATGTACAAAGCCACAAAATTCAACCAGTGAAGCTGGTTCTCAGTGACTGGGTGAGACCCATACAAAATAAAGTTGGTAAAGGTAGCAGGCGCCTTTAACTGAGAAGTGAGAGACTGAAAAATGAAGAATGCAGGATAAGGGTGGCAGGAGAAATCTAAGTGGAAATGTCAGGCAGTTAGATATGTAAATAGAGAACGCAGGAAAAAGGCGTGCAATAAATTTCATCTGCAGGCACTGAAAGCAGAGGAAAGGAAGGTAATTTCCTAAAGTGTAATCAAAGGTGAGAGACCATTATTCACTTTTTATATGTCCTCCAGTAAACTGCTTCCTTTTCTAAGGCTTATTTGTAACATGTATGGCGGAACTATATGATTAATGGGGCCCTTAAATGAGTCCAAATTCTTCAAACACAACTCTTTCTTGTTGCTCTTGGGCTAATTGTAAACACTTCCAGCCTCATGCTAAAATAAAACAAAACAAAAAAACTAAATAACTTAAGATGGATTGGGAAATATTTTACAGCAGAATTGATAACATCAATCCAAGTCGTTTACTCAGCAGATGAAAAATTAAGTTCTGGGGTAAGCTACATCCTGTGTCATAGCAGGTAAGCCAGTCCCGTGGCTGTCAGTTACTGCTTAATTTACTAAGGAAAGTCCGAGGGTAACTAGACACAGAAACACCTGAGTTAAAGTCATCCCTACAAGGCAAAGGAAATCTCCCTGTTGTATCTAAAAGATCTGGAGAACCAGATTTATCTCATGCACTAAAGACCTACCTTGGGGGCATTGTGTCCCACAGGGACATGAGGTCCCCTTCTAGATTTCATTGCAAAGCGCATTATTTGTCTCTTCACAAAAATAAACAGCAGTACAAATACCTGTCCGAAGAGATATGAAAACTTTTAATTTAGAAGTTTTATAAGAAAGCTTGACTTCATTCAAAGTTCCCCGACTCGGGCTCGGAGGATTGGAGGCGTGGGGTAGAACTTGGGGCAGAGCAACGCCGTCAAAGATGGGGCTGGATCTCAGGAAGCCAGGAGCGAGCACGCGTGGGGTCTGTACCCTAGAGCTTAGAGGGAGGGTTCTCGGCAGGGGCGGGGCTGCCTGGGTCTGTGACTGCGCTCCCAGGTGTTCCTGGGATAGGCGTCAAAAAGCTCAGAAAAAGCGCAGGTGAGTGGGTGGAGAATGAAGGTAGGGAACGGCTCAAGAGGAGGGTCTCGACTGGGTCGCACGAGACAGCAGGAACGGGGTTGGGGAATCTCCTCACCAGGCTCCCGTAGGCCATCACCAGCACGACATTCACACCGGACAGCCAGTTACTGCTAGACGCCATGGCCTCTCTCCCTGGGGAGAACTGCTCAGGTTTCCCGCTGCTCTGCCTTGTCAGCCCAGGCGCCGCCGAACGAACGGTGCCTGGGCTCCCTGGAGCTCTCCGGCCATTTCCTTACGGGGGAAGACTAAGTCACACCCGGCCTGAAAACATGGCGGATGGGGGCGCTAGTAAAGGAGAACTACGCCTTCCCGCTTCCCCCGACACGTGACTCGGGCGGGCAAGGGCACCTGGGAGCAGCGAGCGCCGAAACGCGGAACTACGCCGCTAAGAGGAAGCGGAGGCCATGTGTGCGTCACGCCGGGGAGGCGGGGACGCCCTGGAGGGGGCGGGGCGCACGCGCCCAGCCGGAGCGCGGTGTTTCGTGGCGTCGGGACGCGCGCACGCTTGCGTGCGCGGCCCTTTTTGCGTCACGTGCTGGGGGACGCAGGAAGGCAAGTGGGAGGGGGAAGGCGCGAGAGCGAGCGCGAGAGGGAAAAGGAGGGAGGGGGCGGGGAGGAGGGAATCTTATATCACGTGACAGGGGCGGCGCGGCCCGGGGTGTCAGTGTGGAGGAGACTGAGGTAAAGTTGGGAGCGCAGCGGCGTTGGCGGCGGCGGCGGCAGCGGCAGCGCGGCGGGGCCGGGTATTGTCCGCGGCCCCTTTAAATCCGCGATCCTCCCTTTGCCCTCCCTTCTTTCTCCCCTACCCTCGCTGTACCCCCTCCCTCGCTAGGCCCCCCGCGTCGTGTGTCCGCCACTGTACACCCTTCTCTAGTGCGAGCCCTGCCCCCCCCACCCAGTCGGCGGCCTGAGGTTTTGTTTATGGTTGGGTTCGCGGCCTAGTGGGCCGCGCCAGAGCCGGGGCCTCGATTTGGAACGTGGCCGGGGCGGGGCTTGGGGCAGCCGGAGGGGGGGGCCATGCGGCTGCAACCCGAAGGGGGAGAACGAGAAAGAGCGCGGGCGAGCGCGGCCTGGGCCCTGCCAGAGGTAGGGCTCTCTCGGCCGTGGCCGGTGCCCGCGGAGAAGAGGGCCTCCTCCCTGCCCAGTCCTCTGCGGGCCTCCTGGGATCCGGATCCGGCCTGGTTTGGGGGTGGCTGGGGGGGTGGCAGTGGGGTGGAGCTGCCCAAACTCCCCCATGTGGCCCTCAGTTTGAGTGCGGAGGATTAATTTGTTCCGGGTGGGAGGTAGGGAGGCGATTGGCCCCGTGGGCTCCTGATGTGGCGTCGGGGGGGGGGCGGTGAGCTCCCCTCCTCCACGCGTGGGCTTGCGTCCCCTCTTCGTTTCCAGCCTCTTTGTCAGCTCCTCTTATTACCCTTCTTTCTTGCCGACCCCGCTCGCGGAATACATTTTTGTTGCTGTCTTTTGCTTCCTGTTGTCTATACTGTAGTTTTGGGTACCTCAAACAATTATGTTATTTGGGAAGCTGGACATGGAGGGCCCCATGGGCTGTATTACCCTTAAGAGACGTCACTAAATCACTGGGGTATTTGTTCACTCTTCTCATAATGGGACAGAAATTCCATTTTTTTCAGACCCTTCACCTTGTGGACAGACCCCCTACGTGGCTTTGCAAACTGGTGTCATAAACAGCAGACTGCTCCTTTTCCACAATTCTTGAAATGTAGCCACTTCTGGTCTAAGATGTTATGGAAAGAAAAACATCACAGTAACAGGCATTTTTCTTGTTATTGTTAACGTTTTTGCTTTTGACTCACCGTGATTATTAAATGAAGAAATCCTTTTTTTGTCCTTCCTCATCCATCTTCCACTCTACGTCCTGCTTTGGTGTTATCTGATGTGGTTTGCTGGGAGGTGATGGGTATCAGTTACAACCACTATTAGAGAATTAAAACATTTTGGCTCTGTATCAGTTGATAAAACTGCTTTGAGATCCTACACCATTGTCCTTAAAGATTGGACTGTTTCCGTTGTGAATGGGAAGTATTGCTGGCATGTAAACTAGTGATGAAAGGCCTAAAAATGTACTGTTGTTTTTTATTTTTAACTCCCCTCCTTGCTAAATGTGTCCTAACTGGAAAGTACCCTTAGCAGATTCAAGGTGGTGGGGAGAGGGACACTGAAGTCATTTCAGCAAAGCATCTAGGGTAATAGTTGCTCTGTTAGAGGTAGCAAGCCTTACCTATCCCAGGCTAGTTTCAGAGTTTCTGAATTGTGTCTCAAATTAGATTGTAAGCTCCCTGAGGGCAGCAACCAAGCTATCATGCTTTTGTATTTTATGAAGTATTGGACACATAGTAGATACTCAATAAATACTTGTTGTTTATTTTTTTCAGTAAAAATTCTCTGGCTATTTTTTTAAGTAGCTGGTTTTCAAAATATAATCAAGGGCACTCCCGTGTTGAATCTTGTATTTGTTCCTGCACTAGTCCCTTGGTCTCCAATACTTCTCACTCTACTTCCTTAAATATTTTAATTTATGAGAAAGTAACAAAATTTTTCTTCTTCACTGTGATAACTGAAAATTTGTCCCTGCTTGTTACTAAAAAGCCACTATTCTTTGCCCTTGAGTGATCCATCTCTAATCGCTTAGTTTTGACCTGTTGCTCAGTGTTACAACCTAGGTGGTAAAATTGTCATAGTCACACCTGTGAAAGCACTTGTAAGAGGGTATTAGGAGTTAATAGCAAGAATAATTAGGATTTTTTTTCTTGTCTTTCAAGATAACTTTCAAGTATATTTATATCTGTCTGATAAAATATGTGTACTGGGACTATCATCTGGTTCTACAGCTTATATTTGCAAAATAATTCTTGTAAATTGATTTTACAAATGGAATAAAAAGCAGGAAGTATTTGTGAAGTTGCAGGGGTGGGTTGGAAATGACTATTAAAAATGTCATCTTTTGAGTCAATTTTAAAACAATGGTTTTCTTCTAGTGTTGATTTTTTTCTTTCCCTCTTGATTTGGATGCAGGGGCCCATAGTTAAACAATACAATACTTTTGATTGTCCCTTTTTTTTTTCTTTTGTCACTCTTTTTGGAACAGGGTTTCACTATGAAGTTCAGATTGGCCTTGAACTTATTTTGTAGCCCAGGCTGGTCTTGAACTCGCAACGATCTTCCTGCCTCAACCTCTGAGTGCTGGGATTACAGGTGTGCAGCACTACACCGGACCTGTTTGTCTTTTGGGACAGGGTATTGCAAGGTACTGCAGGCTGGCCTTGAACTCTATTATGTAGCCCAGGCTGGCCTCGAACTCATGGCGATTCTCCTGCCTCCTGCCTTCTGAGTGCTGGGATTACAGGCACATGCCACCACACCACCACACTAGGCCTACCATACTTACTTTTTTGTAAAATGTTAAAAGTTGACTGCAGTGGCAGCCTGGGAAGGTGGACTACTGTATAGCAAATAATCTTGTAGCAGCTTGGAATATTTACAGTCTTGTGTGTACATGTATGTAGGGGGGAGAAATAACAGTCAAAAATTAGCACTGAAGCTGCCTTAAAAAAGTCTGTCTTGGAGATAAGGAATGTGGCATTCTTAATTCTTAATGAGCATATCAAAAAACAAAGACCCATGCAACCTGTTGACACATCTTGGTGAAGAATTTATCCGTCAGCTTTCTCTTAACATGAAAGAAACAGGTGAAATTCATTTTCCTAATAGTTAATCCTGGCATATATTTTTTGAAGCCTTCCAACCTCAAAATCTAGCTGTCTTTTGCATAACCTAGAAGTATCCTTAGAAGCAACCTTTTGTTAATGAGAAAAATTAAACATGGAACACAAAATTATGAATTTATCCCCTTTGGAAAGAAAGGAAACAATGCAAATTAACCTTTTTTTGGTCTTTTTGTGGACATAGGGTTTATCTTTGCGGTTCAGGTTGGCCTTGAACTCACTGTGTAGCCCACGTTGGCCTCCAACCTGTGTCAGTCCTGCTGTCTTGGCCTTCTGAGTGCTGGATTACAGGCATACACCACCACGCCAGACCATAACTTGTTATTTTGAGCTATCTATCATATGTGTGATTTCTTTGTTTACTAAATACAGCAGCTGAGATTGTATTATAAAATAAACTGCGAATGAAGGGACCTTGAATTCAGTAGGATTCTTGCTCAGTAGAAATCTTAAAAAATATATTTCTAGAAAGCCCTGTCTATTGTGGTCTCTTTAAAGACTCAGGTCATCTCGGATGGCATTATTATATCAGATTTAGAAGCCCTTCCAAGTAAAATTTTGTGATCGGTGCATTTGGTTTGGGACAAAGTTGGGATTCACTATATATTAAGGTGAGTGGTAGAGATAATTGCATTTCTGGTTATTTGAAAGTGTGGATGAGACCAACAGGAGCAGTTGTAAAAGCATTGTATGGAATTACCATTAGAGAGTTGAGATTCTGGACAGTCACTTATGCTACATGCATTGTGGAAGGCTGTAGTTTAAGATAACCTGTAGCATGCTGGGAGGTGAAACTTAGAAAAGAGCTAGACTTGAACTTGTCATTCCATAAGTGGTGGAGGTCATATGCAACTTATCAGATAAAGCTTTTTTCTTAGGTAGATTGAATATTGTATTTTGTTTTTGTGGTGCTGGGAATCAAAATCTTGCTAGGTAAGCATTCTAGCACTGAGCAGATTCCTAACCTCTGCTGTATCTTAAATTGTTATTTCTTTGGAGTATAGATTAATCTCCTTCCTGGAAGGCTTTTGTTTCCAGGCTTTGTTGATTATCTTTCCTTTTGTCAAAGGGACTTTGGATACTTTCAGTTATATAGAAGACTTTTGGTTATTAACAGTGTTTTGCTTGCTATAAAGATAGCTAAGTATCTTAAAACCTGCTTAAAGGGGACTAGTAACCAAACTATGCCTCTTGACTTTTTACAAAAGGCCATCACTTACACATGCTTCATACATTTTTAGTTTTTGCAATGCTGGGGTTCCAGTCCGGGGCTTTGTGCATGCAGAGAATGAGTGCTGCCACTGAGCTGCATCTCAGTGTTGTGCAGTTCTTGTACAAAAATGGATTAACAGTCGTAGTTCCTTAAGGAATTTATCAAGAGACATGTCTTAATAGGTGAATCTTCTTGGTTTGTTCCTTTGAAGAAATCAAGCGTTGGTGAATGTGTAGATGAAAGAAAAGTTAAAAACATTTCACCCATATTTAACACCTAAACTTTTTTTCTTTTAAATCTTCAGTATTCTACCTTGTAAATACTGTTATTTGTATATACTGTAAATGATGACATCGGTGGGCACTAACCGAGCCCGGGGAAACTGGGAACAACCTCAAAACCAAAATCAGACACAGCACAAGCAGCGACCACAGGTAAAGAATCCAAAGGGTATG